ATTGCTGGAGTCAGGCTCGCAGGAGGCTGGGGTGTGGAGGCCCAGGCTTTGTGTGCAGGAGTTGTAAGGGAATGGACTTTTTATCTGGCCCTCTGTAGTGACAGAGCCAGCCCTTGCTCCTGCCTTGGCCCAGGACTCTGAGGGGCAGTCCCGTTCCCACACAAGTTGTGCGACAGCCAAGGCTCTGCACCCCCCTCTGCCCCCCACAGCGAGAGGCCGAGAAGCATTCTTGACATTCTTTCCAGAGAAAAGGGGTGAAACGTCTGAATTTGGGGGTCACCATGTTATACAAATCACAATCTAATCGTTTTTACAAGAACATACTTGCAGGAAGAAAAGCGGCCCTAGAGGAGGGGTTGAGGAGACAGACAGCTTGTTTTGTCCCCCTTTTCCCCAAAGTTTGGAGCTATTGTTGGGCTGATCTTGCTCCCTTCCCCAGAGCTGTTGAGCTCGAGTTTTCTGGCTAAATTGGTCTTGGGATGGGGGCCCATGGTGCCATTTCTGTTTGTTTTCCCAAATCAAAGCCCCAGCAGGGCTCCTATGGCCGCTGCTGGGCCACTGTTTGAAGAGACAGGCCATTTCCCAGAGCCGGGTGTGTCAGTTTATGCTCTGGCCTTAACCTCCCAGGCACTGCACAGCAGAGTCTTGAGGGTCCCAGGCCCAGAGGCAAAGGAATTGTATTTTTATTGGTCCATGTAAAGTGTGTGTGGCCATTTCGGAGAACTGGAGAACAGGGCAACAGAAAGAGATTCTTCTGTCCCTGGCCAGGCTGGCTGGCAGACCAGGGGCTTTCAGGACTGGTCCTGGCCTCTGGGGGCTGGTGCTCACCCTGGCCCTACGTGTTCCCCAGACGGCAGGGTTCTGCGTTTCTTATTGTAGACACCGGCATGACTCTTCCCAGCGTCATGGCTTGGATGCTGGGACAGGGGCCCGGGGTGGCAACATGGTCTGGATATGGCCCCAATGCTACCAGTCCTGACACTGCTGACCCTGCGCAGCCCAGGGGCAGGGGTACCCAGCTTTCCTTTCCTCTAAACCTTGGGACCAGGGGTAGGCAGGTAGAGCCATGCTGGGCTTCACGCCCCCAGCCCCCATGGCCTTTCATCTTCTATTTCAAACAAACATGAAATTACTTCTACAGATTAAAGGGGAGAGCTCCTTAGTCATTCCTGAAGGCCTCACTAATGGAAGGGGCAGGGCCCCCAAATCTGGAAGGAGGGAGAACTGTGGAGCAAAACAGCCCCTACCTGGGTGTGCACAAACGTCCAAAGTACCTGTAAAAGAGAGGTGGGGTGGGAGACTGACTCCTCGTGGGGCTCTGGCCTGCCCAGGGCGGGTAAATCACAGCTGGTGGCCTGAGACGACAGGGTCTTCTGGGGAGCCAAGGTCCATGATCTCTGGGAGATGCTCATCTGGGGGTGGTAGCTTTCTGCCTCACCCTCTCAGGGTCCCACGCCACGAGGCTTAACTTTTACCTCCGACAGAAAGAGGCACAACTCCCCAAGGAGGCTGGGGCCAGGGTGCTGACTTAGGGCCTGAACGCCCCACTGACCACAACAGTGTCCCTTGCTGGGGGGCACCTCAGTGCCGAGGGCTCAAGGGGAAAGGAACTCCAGTGCCTCTTCTACTCCTTCAGCTTCTAGGAAAGATGGTGGCCCCTCTGGGGTGAAGGGAGGTTGAGGGTCAGAGCCTGTGTGAGCTGGAAAGCCTGGAACTGGTGTGCTTTCACACGTGTGGCTGGCAGCATCTGCCTCAGCCCTCTGGTGGCTTGTGAGATCATGGAGTCCCCCTCCCCCCGCCAGGGCCTCTTACCTGAGTGTCCCTGGGAAGCTTTCATGGCCTCACTTCTCCTGTCTTGCCAGGGAGAGCCCAGCATTTCTTGGGTGAAAGTGTGAGATCAGGCCTGGAGGGTGCCCTCTTCTCCTTCATCCCCCCAGTCATTCTGCAGAAACCCCGTTCCTACCCATTCCCTAACCACAGGGATTAGCGGGTGCACTTGATGTTGAGGGGTAGTTGCTAGGGCCAGAAGGCCCCCCTACGTGGTTGCTAGGGGTCTGGCATCAGGGCGAGGGGTCTGCCCACTGCCGCGGTCACGGAGGGAATTACACAGTCACAAAGAAATTGTTCTTCTCGGTAATCTGCTCTCGGCCACCGGGAGGGGCGCGGGTGGGGGAGCACGCTGGAGCCCAGCAGGCTGGGGGCTGTGATCACACAGGCGTGCTAGCCCCGGGCTGGGGGCCAGCCGGGCCAGGAACACCAGGGACCAGCCCGCTAAGCTGCTTTCTCAGCGATTTCTCTCCCCAGACACAAAGGTGTTTACTTGTTTTAACATCTCCTGGGACTCCCCTTCTCCCTTTGTGTGGTCTTTATCCCCAATGAAGTTTGAGCCCCAGATTACAGGCAGGAATTAAGGCATTGGACTCAGGCAGCTCAGAACTGCATGACCTGCAGGATCAAGAAGTATAAAGTAACCAAGTGTGTGTGTGCACGGGAGGGGACCGGCCGTCAGTAAGGCCCATTCTTCCTCCCTGAGGAAGAGCAGCTAGGGGGCGAGCAGGTGTGATGCAGGGGCTGCTGGGGGAGAGGCAGGCACTGGGACCGGGGTGGGCATCCTGGGCCCTTTCATCCCTTAGCCCCTTCCTAAGGGAGCCTGACTGGAGCTCTGGCAGGACAGCTGCATTTCTCCAGGGACTGATGCCATTCAGTTAAAAGCAGGTGTGGGGGCCAGGGTGGGACAGTCTCTCCTCCTCTGCCCTTCTGCTCTCTCCCCAGTGGGCAGCTAATGATGCACCTGGGCAGTGACTTCCCCCCAGGGGCTGGGGTGTTGGACGTCATGTATGAGTCCCCTTCCACACTCTTGTCCTGTGGCTATGATACCTATGTTCGCTACTGGGACCTCCGAGCCAGTGTCCGGTGAGTATGATAAGCAGGAGGTGGGCAGCAGTCCTGGGCCTGCCTCCTTCCTTCCTCGGGTGCCCCCAGGAGAAGGCACAGGCCCTCCAGGCCCTGCCCCCAAGCCCTTGGAAGACCATAGCCACCAGGTCCTGATTAAGGCCTAGGGCATCGTCAGGGTCCTGTCCATCAGCATTCTGCCTTTCTTTCTGCCTTGCTGCCTAAGTTCTGTGACCTGTAGCTAGCCATGTGAAGCACAAATGAGGGTATAATCTTGGCCTAGGGTTCGAGCACTTGTGAGAAAGGGTCTTTTGCGGAGGAGGCTTTTCCTCGTTAAGTCTGGTTCTTAGAGAGTTTGGGGATTGAGCTTCTGTCTCCCAGCCAGAATGGATTTCTCAGGCCCCTGGGGAAGCTGGGGTGGAGGGTACCCCTGACCCTCCTCCCTCTGACTGCCTCTTCCCGGACAGGAAGTGTGTAATGGAGTGGGAGGAGCCCCATGACAGCACCCTGTACTGCTTGCAGACAGATGGGAACCACCTGCTGGCTACCGGTTCCTCCTACTACGGTGTTGTGCGGCTGTGGGACCGGCGCCAGAGGGCCTGCCTACACGTAAGCACACCTCATGCTCCAAGATGCCAAGACTCCTTATTATGGGATGTCTATGGGAGTCGGGGTACCTGGAGAGGGGGAGTCTACGCCGGCACCTGGCCCACTGCACTGGGCCTGGGAATCATAGGTTAGGGCCCCCTCCGTCTCCCACTCAGAAAGCTCTTGGCATTCCCATACCTTCCTTCTTTGCAGGCCTTCCCATTGACCTCGACTCCACTCAGCAGTCCTGTGTACTGCCTGCGCTTCACCACCAAGCACCTCTATGCTGCGCTGTCTTACAACCTCCATGTCCTGGACTTTCAAAACCCGTGACCAGGCCACCCCAGCCTGTGTGCCAGGGAAGCCAGATACTCAGGGACCTCTCCTGCCTGGAGGGTGAAATGATACCTCCTCCCCTGCCCCTGCGGTGCCTGTGCTCCTAGACCTGGGACCGCAATGCTTGGGCACCATAAGGTAAAAGCTGCTGCCTCCCCGGAATTTGGGGTTACCTCCCAAGAACTAGTTGGAGAGAAGGGATCTGCTGCTTTGAGAGAATGGCTAAACCCAGCCAGGCCTTGCTTCCCTGTTGACCAGAGCAAGGGTCGGGCCTGCACAAGTCTGCTCTGCACCTCGCCCCTTCTCAGAGCCGTGCCAGCTTAGAGTGGGGAGAGGGGTGAGGCTGCCAATTTCCTGCTCTGGCCTCCACCTCCTCAGTCAGCCCTCATCCTTGACCAGGCTCTTGAGGCTTATTCCTGGGGCACTGTGAGCCAGGTCTCACTTTGAAACTAAGGACAAAGAGAACCTGGCAGTTTTGAATACTGAGCCAGCCCAATCTCAGGCCGGCTGCTAAGACATGCTACAATGTTCATTTTTGTAAAATTAAAGCTTGATTGTTCACAGATCTGGTTCCTTTCTGGCTGGGGAGTCCTGGGAAGCCCTAAATACTCAAACTTGAGGACAGGCATGCTGGGGAAAGGGTAAGACCATCCTCATGTCTCAGTGTCCCACAGAACCTCTCATTACCACTCATCCCTCTGGCCCCAGCGGTGGGGTGCAGACAGGGGATGGTGGAAGGGCTCCGTGCTGTTGGGGAGCTAAGCTACTTACTGCCCATCTGCAAGAACACTGCTTCACCCTACTCCAACACACACGCACTCTGTAATGCTATGACCCTCATTCTGCCTTTACACCCACAATGTCTTAATATCCTGGGCTATTTCCAGGGTCTCTGTATTTCAAAAACTTCTCCGTTACCTTACCCCACCTAAGGGAGCTCATCTGGGCCCTTCTGCAAGCTAAGATAGCACAAGGTCTCTGCCAGCCTAGCTAGCATTCCTATGAATTTATGCAAACAGGATGGGCCTCGGGGCTCCCCCACCTCTGCTCCATCTAAGACCCATGCCTCCCCCTTTATGTGAAAGGCTTGATGTTGAAGGTTCCTGAAGACAGAAGACAATGCCCTCACCAGCACCCTCCCAGGCAAAAGGAGGGTGGAGAAGTGGACAAGAGGGCAGTCTATGCACAGTGACTCAGAATGACTTTACTGGGAGATCAGACCATGATATCAGGGCTAGGAACACCCTACAGCCCAGTTCTCAAAGAGCCTGGACAGCTCTTGGAAGAGAGGAGGTACCCCTGTACCAGAAAGGCCCAAGCTGCAAAGTCTGGAAGAGCCTCACCCACCCACCATGCTGCAGGCTCAAGGATGGTCCGCTACTGGGTCTTACAGTCCCCATCACTGCTGTAGGCTGTCTTCACTTTCTTTAGCTCCTTCTGAAGCTCTGACTCAGCTGCCAGGACCGCCTTTGGCTTCTGGTACTGTGGGTGAAATCAGGAAGAGGACAACATTCAGCCACATCTCCCCTCCTACATATACACTCGGGGCCTCCTCTGATCCCTTTATTTGAAAAGGAGGAAATTGATCCCTACAAGGTTGAATGAATTGCTTAAGGTCACATGACTGGATGGGAGCCTTCCACCAGAATCCCAGTCCTGTGATTTTCCACCCTCTCTCCTCTTCCAGCTGTGATTTCTAAGATCAGCTGAGCACCCTCACCCTACCCCGCTGTCCCCATGCCTGTTCTCTAGCAAGCACACTCCAAGAGTTGGGGCTGAAACTGGGGACACTTCCATGGGGTGGGAAATGGGCAGGGAAAGAAGGAGCCTCTCCCTGATGCAGTGGCCAAGAAGTCTGGGTGAATCTTACAGAAATGATCAAGGTGCAGTTGGCATGTGCAAAGCTCAGCAAGGACCCATCCACAGGTAGCTGGTGTCTGTCTAGGTCAGGAATGGAGAATTTCTTGTAGTACCTGTGGGAAGACCAAGAGATCACCAGGATATCCAACAAGGTGACCCCCAATGACTGGGCAGCAGGCCCTCTGGTGCCAAATATCTACATAGTTCTTCCACACCTTCCACAGAGCCAAAAAGGAAGAAGAGGAGCCAGTTAGAACACCAGGATGAGGGACACCTGGGTGGCTCGGGTTGAGCGTCTGCCTTTGGTTCAGGTCGTAATCCTGGAGTCCCAGGATTGAGTCCCACATTGGGCTTCCCATGGGGAGCCTGCTTCTCCCTTGGCCTATGTCTCTGCCTCTCTCTATCTCTCATGAATAAATAAATAAAATATTAAAAAAAAAAAAAAAAACAACACACCGGGATGAATGAAAGGCATTTTGGCCAGGCCAGCAGTGAAGTGCAGGACCCATCACGGTTACTTTATTAGACCAAGGATTAGAATGACTCATCCTTCAGGGTCAGGACTCCCAGAGACATTCAGAAGAAGCCTCCTATAATATACAGCTCAGTCAGGCCAGGCCTTCTCTGTACCCCAAGAACAAGGGACAGAATAAGTATACCTAGGGTTGGCTCCCAAAGTTGGGGACCAATAGTTGCCTTTACATGGGACTTTCTCTGAAGACCCCAGCTACTTTTTTCCTCTTTTGGGGTCTTTCAAGGCCCTGTGGGCCTAACTCTGCTTGTAGGCCAGAGAGGGAGGTATATCCACAAGGAGAAATCTAGAAAGACAAACCATGTGACTCATCTTGGAAGCTGGACCTCTGGGGCTCTGGGAGACCTTGCTGGCCCTGAGATGCCCCGTGCCGTGCCTTCATTTTCACACACGGTCTCTATCATCTGCAAGATGATAGTCCAGAGATTAACGAGCCTGTTTAGTAAAAACAGACCCAAAAAACCCAAAGGGCAACACCTAGTCCACAATGTGTACAACTGGATTTCATTTTACAGGAAACTTGACCTTCTTCACCAAAGAAGGAGGTAACATGTCTTGTCTGGCTTCACATCCAGTCATCAGTGGGGTCAGGATTAAAGCTCCTTGCTCCTAGTTGAGTGTTTATTTCAGCAGAGCACCTTGTCTCTAGGAAGAGGCTTCTTTGGCTTCTTCCCTGGTGGAAGTGGGGCCTAGGCTCTGGCCAGCAGCTGTCAGACCTGTCACCCAGGCATGGCATCATTGCTCCAGTAGTGGTTGTGTGGGCTGGGGAGGGAAATGCTGCCGGCAGGTACACACAAACTCAAGTGAGGGGCCCCGGAGAGGATGAGGCTTTTAATACTTCAGAGGGGCCTGGTCCTTATGGTGACAGCTACCACAAGTTCAATTCAAATGCCCCGATGCCCCAGGGACTCAGAGTTGACATCAATGCAGCACTTCTGTCCTGCTCTCCTGCCCGAAACCCTCAGTTTCGCAGTGGCTTTTGGGCCCCTCTCCTCCCAGGTTCTCCACTCCCCGCCAAGGTGCTGGGACCCACAGGAGGAAAAGAATGTTGACTTAAAGGCTGACAGTTCAAAAGGAGTGGGGGCTGGGGGATCCTAATGGCACCACAAGCTTGCTTTATTTCCCAAAGCTCTGCCCCAGGGAAAAGCGATCCATCTGCCTGCAAAACCAGGATGGAATGCTGCCTCGTTCTCCTCCTAGCCAGCCAGGGCGAGGGCTCTTCCTGAGGCCCTTGGGCTGACCAGCAAAGGTGGCAGACACTGATAATAGGGGGAGTCAAAGGTTAAACAGCACAGATTAGATGAACACAAAGGCTTGTTAGGAAGTGTTAACATCTTCCCTGCAAATACACACAAGCAGCAGCACTTGGAGAGCAGCAGGAACCAATGGGGCCTGGGGGAGGCCTTACCGTGCAGAGCTCAGGGACATCCTTTCTGCCTGCCTGGCTGGTGCACTGGGGTGGGACAGGGACACACCTGCATCCCCTCAGCGAAGCCCCAGCAAACCACGGTCCCCAGGATGGGACACTGGGACTGAGAAAAGAAACCTGGGGGGCTTGGACTCAAAGGGAACTTGAGGTGCGGGGCTTGCCTCCTCCCTGTCACCTGTTACCACACGGGTGAGGCGAGGTGAGGGGATGGAGGCAGAGTGGGCGCAGAGGCTCTGCTTTGTCTGTGGAGTCTATGAATGGATTTAGTGAATGCTTGAGGTTACACAACCTTCCCCAGGGCCACTGTTCAAGGGCGTATGGGACATCTGCCTCCTTTCCTCAGGGAATGGCTCACCCCCTTCTCACCTCCATTCCCTGGCCTTGGGGTTTCCTTGAGAGGAACCATACTTGACTTTCTCACCAGTACCTGGACTAGAGAGGGACCCACTGTGCTTCCAGATAAGTCAGAATGCTCGGCCCTAGGCAGTCCTAGGGAGGCAGCAAACAAGACTTTAGTCATCAGGTATGTCCCAGGCCTTGAGCTGTGAGCTGGGGATTTAAGGATGAAGAAGAAAGAGAAGGCCCTATCTCTGCCTCAGGAGATCTTGTTTCTGCTGAAAGCTAGGCCCTTACAGTACAGTGCTTCCTGGGCTTTGGGTGGACGCATGTCACTCCACTTTTCCCATGTCCCATCACTGTTCTCAGTCTCAGTCACACAATGAAAGGTGATGTTCATTAATGCTTATTCAGGGTCAGGCAGTACTCTATACACATTGAATCCTCAAAACAACCCTTCAGGCTGGTTGCTTTCATTATCCTCTTTCACAAAAGAGAAAACTCTGGTAGAGACAGGTATCTTGCTGGAGTCACAGATCTGGTCAGTGGAGAGGCCCCTATTACAAGTAATAGCTCCCCAAACCTCCTGACCCCTCCATCTCTCCACATCTTCTCCTCAGAGTAACAGATGCCCTGGTCTAGGTTCCCTGCTCTCCAAGGATGGGGCAGATATGGGGGTGTGGGTGTGGGGGTGTTGTCCTCCCCTAGGACCCAACCACCCCACAGGTCCCTCAGGCACTCGAACACATCGGTTCTCCTTTCTGAATGTCAAAAGTTCTCGAAAGACATGGGGAAGCAAAGGCTTTCAGGACAATTCCTGGTCCTGGCCTGTGACCCTGGGCAGGTCACTTAACTTCTGGGCTCTGGTTTCTTCCTCTAATAAAGAAGCTGAATGAACTTTAGTCACTGAACTAGATGAACCTAGTCACTGTCCAAGGGACTGGAATAGGCCAACTCTGTACCTCCCCTGAAACTGCCAAAAGGATGGCTTTTTTATTTTGGCTATTCTGGAGTTAATCTATAGTACCCCACCACTCTCCTACTGTATTCCCTTCCCAATTTCCAGTCCTTTCCCTCCTTTGTGGTAAACTGAGAAAGGGCACAAGAGGCCAGGCCTTTAGAGACTCAGAGGAGGCTGAAAGTAGAAGCAAGTCCTCTGTGGAGAGTCACATGGGTCACACCCTACACTGCTCTGGGGTACCCTGCATACCAGCACACAGGCTTGACCAGATGGATCCGGAGAAGCCTCTAGCCAGTCCTGCCCTTGGAAAAGCAGTAGGCAAACCTCCCTTCTTTCTTAAACATCACAGCTCCAGGCAAACCAGTCATCCCTGCCCACAGCAGTCCTTCCTAGACTCACGATGCACATTCACGGACTAAGACTGCTGTTAAGTCCTACCGAAGAGAAACTTGTTTAATCCAGTTTCCTCAATTTATTCGACCACAGAATCCTTTTTTTCTAGTGATGTCTACTAACACCTCCCACAGTGTCAGTGTCACCAATGTCCAATTAACCACGTTCCAACTTCCAAAGACTTACTATAGACATGCTTCAGGCTAGCCATTGTGCTGGAAGTTTGTATACTTATTATTTCATCAAATCGCCCAAACAATCTGTGAGATAGGTATGAGTATTCTCCTGTGACACCTGAGGAAACCTTGCCCAAAATACTAAAGTTAATATGTAGCAGAGGCCAGACTTAAGCCAACATCTTCCCACTCCAGTGCCCTGGTTCATTCCACTTAGAGCTACCAGCTTCTAGGCTGAGGCTAAGAACCTTCTTTCTGAATAGACATTCTTATCAGGAATAGGGAGTACCACCCTGGGATCCTAGAAAAGCACTTTCTTTCTTCTCTGATTCATCCACTCCCTCACTAATATCTAAGGCCAAGGACATGATACACTGGAATCAATCCTTTCCAGAAAAGTGGCCAACCCAGTCCTTCAGAGACAAGGTATGGATAAAGGAATGTTGGCTTTTACTAGTAATGTTGGCTTTTACATTCCAGAATATTAGAACTCAGGCAGGCGCAGAACCAGAAGGCAATGGAAGAAGGCAAATCAGAGAAAGATGCCACAGTGTGGGTACTGCAGATGCCCGGCCACCTAAACTGTCGCTAACTTTCCCTTCCAAGGAAGTCATCACGCTGACTTTACAGACATATTTATATAATCATTAATATATAATACAAGAATGAAAACATGTACCCTGCCCAACACTGGATGGTGTGGTGATGAAAAGACAGATTTTTAACATCCTGAAAAAACTGAGTATCCTGCTCAAAAGAATAACCATTGTGTTAATTAGTGGTAGTAAAGGTATAAGACACATTACTGCTCCTAGTAGGAGATGAAAATGCTACTAAGCTCAAGAAAGAATCAGTTAAAAGTTTGGCCTTTCTCTCTAACCTCTGGCAGAGAGGCGAGGCTGAGCCAGGCAGGTCCACTGGACCAGAGGCTCAGTGTGGACCCCAAAGTGGGCAATCACATACTCCTCTCCCCTCTGTGGGAGTCCAGCCTCCAGCCCTAGCCCTGCCCCCTCCAGGAGCATTCCTCCCATCCCACCTGGCTTCACTCATCAGTTCAAAAATGTCATCCCCCAACCTTGTGGGTAGGAATGGGCTTCCAGCCATGTTGCTCCTGGCCAATAGCGCCACCTATGGCTGGATATGAGCAGTAGATGGGACCCAGAGGATCTGCCAGCAGATGAATTTTTTGGTGAACTAGCTAGCCTCTCTCCTCTCACTCCCTGGTAATCACATTTCTGCCTGATATCTGTATTCGACAGTGACCTCTGGGGGACAAAAGGGAGGCAGCAGCCAGCTCCACAAACTGCTAGGCTGCAGATTCAAGTGCTATCAGAAGCACTTTTGTTCCCAGTTTGGACCCAGAGCCTCTTACGCCAGGGAATGCTTGCTGAAGCACGGAGTTTGTTTTCCTAAAGGCAATTTCTCTGTTGTCTGAAATTGCTAAATTCCACTTTAGGCAGTGACTCCCATTAATGGTGAGAACAATAACGGGAATAAACTGCCTTTTATCTGAGGGCTTCAAAGTGCTTTATAAACGCAAACCCTTATTATTATGACTTTATATTTATAGACAAGGCCCACTGCAGGGGCTACTGGCTGCATGTAGAGCAATAATCTTGAAATTAATTCATTCATCTCCACCCCTTCCCCATCCCCTTAACCCTGCCAAAGTGATAGGGTCCAGGGGTCATTAACGGAGGGCAGAACCCAAGGCTGCACTGGGGAAGCCTGGGAGCTATTCTGCTTCCCTTTGAGCCTCGTGGACCTGAGGGAGATGGGAGGGGAGGCTGGCACCACATCCTCTGAGGAGATGGAAAGAGAGCTGGGTCCTCCTTCTGGCATGTAAACCAATGGATGGATGGTGGCACTTCTGGCCCAAGCTTAGCACCCACAAGGCATGCTGGGTGGCTTCAGTTTGTGGACCAGTAACTCATAAAACCTCCCGTTTTAATACCTCAAGTGTATTTCATGGGAATTGGTCTTATACTGCAATCCCTTTGGCCCGGGTCGAGGCCAGCTCATTACAGGGTTCTTCTGTGATCAGAGCTCTGGAAATCTAAATAGGATCAACAATTTCCAAGATGGTCAGGCCAGAAGCAGCCCCACCTGGATCAAATCGCCTCCTTGGCTACCTTCTGTCTCCTCAGCCCTACATTTTGCCTTCCCTCTGTCTGCCCCCAGCGAACACAAGGAGAGAAACAAAGGGAAGTCAGGGGGATCCCTGGGTGGCGCAGCGGTTTGGCGCCTGCCTTTGGCCCAGGGCGTGATCCTGGAGACCCGGGATCGAATCCCACGTCGGGCTCCCGGTGCATGGAGCCTGCTTCTCCCTCTGCCTGTGTCTCTGCCTCTCTCTCTCTCTGTGTGACTATCATAAATTAAAAAACAAACAAAAACAAAAAAACAAAGGGAAGTCAGGTACCCTTTCTGAAACAGAATGCAAGATGCTTCCAGGAGACCAAAGTACCTGCCTACTGCCCTCAGTCTAGAGAGGTATAAGGTTTGCTGCTCCCAGACCAGTACTTTCAAGTCCTCTAACTGCCTCCTCAGCTGGGGGGGCCCTCTAGGCCATGGCTCCTTGACAGCCCCCAACAGTGATGACTCTAGGCCAAGTTCACCATGGACTAGATCCAGCCAGGAGGTCAGAATAATAATAATCTTATAGCAGAACCACTTAAGATCACAAGTCAATAGCCAGGTGAGTCCCTTGTCCCCTCATGTACTCCACAAATATTTGTTAAAACCCCAGTATGTGCCAGGTACTGGACCAGACATCCATTGTTCCTATTTCCCTGCCCTGATGGAGCTGATTACATTATTCAAGCAGCTCCTGCAGAAAGGAAGCCCTCTAGCTCTTGGCATCTTCTGGGGCTTTAGTGCAGCCTCCTCCCTCCCTGGGCTGAAAGAGGAGGCTACTCTGCCCTCTGAGGTGGGGAGCAGTCTGAGCACCAACCCTAGGTCAAGCCCTACCCCACACTGTGCTCATACACAGGTAGCAGGTGCCCATCACACCACTTACTTTTTGTTGGTTGTTCTGACAATGATGCAGCGCTCCTTCTGATCCACACAGACACTGTAGACATCCTTAGGGTAGGGGAGGTTTCGAATCCGCCACTGGAAACTCATCTTGGTGTCCTTGCGCATGAAGATGGGCTACAAAAGGCATATCCAACTTAAAGACTGCTCTTGGTGAGGGGAAGCAAGGGATGGCTCCCTGCTCTGCAAGACTCCACCTGGGGCACACAACAGGAAGCCTTCAGCTCTTCCCCACAGCTCCCCTCTGATGCTGCTATTGCTGTGACATTCCAGGCCTGGAGCCCTTGTCATGGGATGACCAAGCCAAAACCCTCTGGGTATTCATTCAAGCAAACACTTCTAGAGCTCTGTATCCAGGCAGGCACACTGGAGACAAGGTGGTGAAGAAGACATCGTATTTGCCCTCCAAAGCCAGCAGCCGGCTCCAACCCCAGCCCCCCTCAAGACACCCGACAGATAACACATACATTGGCATTGTTTTCCTTGATGAACTCAGGGCCCAGGCTCCCTGCTCCCAGGAATGCTGGCTCTCCCACCTCAATCTGCCACTGGCCCAAGGCTCCCAAGGCACTTTTCACACGCCACTTTCTCACTGAGGAGAGAAGGAAGCAATGGGATTACAGGGAAGGGACTCTGCTCTTTCCTGCTGAATCAATGACGTCACGTTAGATGATTGGAACAGGAGAAAAGCAGGCGCGGCAGGCCTTTACACCAGTTTTGTCCATTTGACCAGGACCTCACGACTCCTGAAATCCCAGCAGAGCATTTCGATATTGGATAACCTGGAAAGCTTGTATTCTGGGTACTCAAACGGATTGGAACAAAGCTCTGAAAGGAGCTGAGTGGAGTTAAGAAGGTGTGATTTCAAGCAAGGGAGAGGTGTGCTGGTTAGGAAAAGGGTAGCCACTAGTAACAGGGAAATTGCAGATCCCAACAAGTCAGAGTTGAGGTGCATTTTTTTCTCTCTGCAAATGCGCAAAGGAAAAGTAAATTAAAAAGATGAAAGCTGACAGGCAGATTTGTCTCATGATTTAGAAAGTCAAAATGAAGAATTCACTCATTTCAGCTCTACCTGGCTCAAAACAGCAGCCCCAGAATTGTATTTAAACAAAACTTTAGGTTCACACCATATTTTAACTGCATTATTTACAGAAGATCTCATATGAATTTGTTTTTGTAGAGTAGGTTCATCCTTTTATAATGCAAACAATTTCTATTTTACCTTTATTTATTTTAAAGATTTTATTTATTTATTCATGACACACACACACACAGAGAGGCAGAGACACAGGCAGAGGGAAGGGCAGGCTCCATGCAGGAGCCCGATGTGGGACTTGATCCCGGGACTCCAGGATCACACCCTGGGCCGAAGGCAGGTGCGCTCAACCGCTGAGCCACCCAGGAATCCCCTTTACCTTGTTTTACAAACCACATGTTTACATAAATTGTTTTCTTTTTCCCGTAAGGTACATACAGTATGGAAATTAAAAGTGAAAAACTAGTTAAGTGGACATTACTTGAGAACCCCAGCCAGAATACTGAGGAATCCCAGTCATCCTTGTCCTCATGGTGCAGCCATGACAGCAGGGGAGCCTTCCCCTCTCCTCCAGCTGTAACCCCTGGGCTCCTCTCCCTTCCTGCCACATTGGCGTCCTCTAGGTGGGCATCCTAAGTGCTGCAAAAAGCCAGCAGCCTTCCCAAAGCCATTGGAAGGAGCTAAATGGGTCAAAAAGTGCCTGATGTTCTGCTGCAGCTGCTCCCATCCACTTCTCTTTCTGGGCTGAGGGGGTGAGACCTGTAGTAGGATTCTAGGATGGGTTTCTTTGAGACCTCTGGAGCAGCTATGCCAAACCCAAATACCCTCCCTGCTCCAAGTAAGGCATGCAAGCTGAACACAAAAGTGTGCTATAAAATTAGAATTTTCCCTTGAATATGTGCTTTTATAAGGTCTGCTGCATTCTGCAGTGTGATTTTATTACGTCTTAGGGCCAAAAATTCTCCCCAGAAACACATTTCCAAGTTTATAATGAAAATTAATAAGGAAGAGTAAAACTTGGAAATATGCTTTATAGGCAACTTTTTTTTTTTTTCACAAATATTTCTACTTTCTTAAGTGAATGGACTGTGACCGGGAGTATATCCAAATCTATTCATGTAATACCTCGCTTAACTGGAGGCCAGCCTTCTGGCTGTTTCACCGCTTTTCTTGCTTGCTTTCTTTCTTTTTAAACACCTTGGGATTAAATTCTTTGGTAGAATGTAGAAGAAAGTCTCCCTACTTATTCCCTTATAAGATCCAATAAACAGTTTTGGTGAAGTCCTTGTTATTTTCTCCATGTATACAAGCTGGAATGCACACGTGCAAATACACTTCGTCTTGTATTTCTCATCCTGTCTTTGCTCCTGAACTCAAGGACAGTTCCTGTGGCAACAGAGGACTGTTTCTACCTGCTGTCACTCTGATTTGATTATATGTTAAACTCAAACTAGTGTGTGTAGGGTAGCTCCCTGGGACGCTGTCTTTTCTTCCCAGCTGAGCCAGGGCCAGTCCTTGGAAAGGAGACTTTCAATGACCCTAAAGGGTCTGATGAGGAATATATGAAGGAGGCAGTGCCTGGGGGCTTTTTTCCTAAGTCAGCAGGAAGCAGGCTGATGTCCTAGACTGCTTAAAGGAAGGCCCATCTTTCAGGTGGGCTGGAAAGTGGAGGTCCTAAAGGCCTCCTTCCCCAAAGCTCCAAGCTTTGGCCTGCTTCCAATGCGGATAATTACATTCCCCTTTCCTAAATACTCCCTGCAGCTTAAACTGGATGCAGGATTCTTCTTTTCTGCCCTAAAACACTGCAACATTGCTCTGTGGCTATTAAACAGCTGCCACGTCCCATCCCTGAGGAGGCTGAAGGGAATCGAGTGGGTCATTTATAAAGCCAGTGAAGTGCTTAGGGATGAAAGTGCTCAATATCCTCCAAATGCAGCCTGGGGTGGTTAGGCTGGCGGTCAAATACCAAAGCAGATTAAGCCAGTAATCCAAATGTAATCGCTGGGGGATGGCCTGCCCTTCAGCCTCTGCCCCCCTGGACATGCTGTGTTCTTCTGGGGCTGGTTTGATGTTCCGATCATTGTTATGGGGCCCTTCAGGTTTTTCTTCTATGACTACATACAGCACTCATTGTGCGGGGTGGGAATGAATAGCACTGAGACGGTTGAAAAAAATATGACACCACTATGCTTGTTAACATCAACTGGAAGGACTCTGTCCTACCCAGATGCACCACTGGCAAATTATTTTCTGGGTTTTTCTAACAGAAAACCAGTTTAGAGAATTACCAAAGTTGTATAGTGAACTGGAAAAATGGAAACTTAATTCTCATTTATGGCCATAATAACCCTGTCCGTATTTTACTTCATAGAGTGCTCAAGCTCTAGTTCGTGCCCTGAGACTGTTTATACATAAATAATAATTTTGCAAGGGCAGTTGGCGGGGATAGGGTGGAGTGGTTGGACATGAGTAAGAGAAGGTTCAGCTGTTCAAAGGGCCCAGTGGTTTGAGTGGGGTGCTCCTTCTGCCCATCTCTGTCTTGCTCCCACCAGCCCCTGCTTCAGTCATTCTGGGGAGAACAAAACTTAGTAAGAAGGCAGGATTAAATATTCTCAACTCCCAATAGTATGTTGTTGTGCATTAAAGCATGGGCTCTTAACCAGGCAAACTTAGGCTTAAATCCTAACTCAGAAACTAACCAGCTATGGAATTCTGAGCAAGGTGCTTAACCTCTTAGAGCTTCTGTTTTTTCCCCGACTGTAAAAGGGCACAACAGTACGTACCTCATTGGGCTGTAATGAGGATGATTCAGTGAGGTAACTCATGTAAAGCACTTAGCATGGTACCTTAATAAAAGTTATGGCATTAATATCATTATTAGGTAAACTTTAGCCAGTGTTCTCCTATGAATCTCCATTTCAGCTTCTAAGAAAAAAGGAGTTTGTAGGCGATTGTCTACTCCCCATCTGCTGAGAGGAGTGACAGGTTAATGTGGGATGCTACAGAGGAAGGTACCTGAACTTGTTTTTCATTTTAATTTCATGTCCAAGCACAACTAAGAGGCCAGGAGTTATTTGTTTGCTTGTTTTTATGGCCACAGCAGCTAAAGGCGTTTTATTTGCTCTGAGTGGAGGAGAGGTGTGGTGCTGGGAGCTGCAGGGAGGAACTGCAGCTAGTCTCTAGCCTGGCAATGGTGGTGGTTAGCTCACGTGACCTCTGCTTTCATAAGCTCGCCCCTGTTAGGCATTCCAAGGCTGTCACCCCCTGGGAGCGCTATAAATTACAATGCATTGTGAGGATATTACTACTGTATTGGTTTCCACCAAATCAGTGTCATATGCTAAACACATCAAGATTTTTAATAGCACCAGACTAAACCAATTGGGACTGGAGCCCAAGCAGCTCATAATAAGGAGGGATCAACACTTCACTCTACGACTGAACATGCGCAGGACACACATTTTAAGACTGGAGACTAAGAAAATGCAAACCAGTGTAATCCGTGTTGTCGGTTCTAGACATTTATGAGCTGTCAGAAAAAGGGAAAAAGAAAATTCCCTTGCCAATACTACCTGTCGATCAGGCACAGGAAGAAATTAAAGTCAAGAATAATGACAAGAAAATAACCCAACCCATGATTCCACCATTGGATTTAGCATTTCAGGTGGAACTTAATAAAGAGACAAACTCCCACTGCTGACAGCCTCAGGCCCTGGGTCAAAGCAGCAGCCACCTAGCTCTGGGAAGTCTGTTAATGCTGATATGCATACCTAGGTACAGAGGATGGACAAATCAAGGAATTCTCAGAAATCTGAGCTGGACCCCTTATTCACGAGCCTAGTCTTAGAGGAAAAGAGCTGTAGGAATGAAAATAACCATCTTGCAAAATCCCCATTTCTACCCCCAATCCACTTTGATTCAGACATTTTCCAAGGAAGGGTCAGATTTAACAGCGCCCCCTCTGAGGCCAGGTTAGTACTGGCTGCTGCTGCTGCTTGCTTGCTCCTGCTGTGGCTTTAGAAAACAAGCAATACAACTGCAGTTAAAGCCTGCCCTTACCTCCATTCACTGTGCCTGGCAGAGAGGATGACTTCCAATTCTGCCTTCTGTCTACAGTTCTTTCCCGACAGTTTCCCTACAGAAGACTTCCTCACACTCTCATTTGTCTGGGGGTCAGGTGGAACTTACCTCCAGTGTCCAGCCCTAACCTCACATTATTCTCAGGAACAATCTTGCCTTGAGGGCCTCAGTCTTCCCTGGCTTCCACCTTTGGTGCTCATTCCTCCCTCATGCCTAAGGCTGGAATTGCTTACCTGTACTTTAGGTTACCCCAAGTGTTCCTCAGGGCCTTTGGGAGGCCCTGTCACTCACCAAGTAGTTCACCGGTCTTCTCATCATATTCTTCGGCCATTTCCTTTCCATCTGGGAACAAATAGTGCACCTTCCTTCTTCCTACACACAAAACAGAGAGTGCCTTACCCTCAAGCCTCTTCTTACCTTGCAACTTGCACATCAAGGGAAACACCAACAGCCTTGGACTTGAGCACAAGAAACCCTCCCAGAGCTGCCCATGAGCTCCTTGCCAACTACTGCCCACCATCACTTTAAGACATGCCCTGGGACACCTTTCTTTTCTGCAGCTTTCTCTGAATGGGGTCTTTGCTCTGCTGTTCCCTCTACCAGCAAAGCTCCGTTCTCCTGCTGAACTCCTTGCCCTTCAAAATCCAGCTCAAATGTCAGTCCACTGAGAATTCTTTAGCCACCTTGGCAAAATTCATCACTTCTGTATTCGTTTGGATCTCCCTACTGCTTTATTCATATCCATAGTGGAGTATTTATCACATAGTATGATACTTTTTTAAAGAGCGTCTTGTCTCCCCAGGAACGGTGCCATATTTAGCTTTCTCTCCTCAGTTCCTAAAACCAAGCCTATGTGGTCAGGATATTGAACTGGGTTTCCTGACCAAGCACTCCTTCTAGACACACCATTGCTGTGCCTTCTGCCTGCCTCTAAGCCATTCCTAGCACACAGCCACATGTTAGTCCTCTTACATTTTCTTTACAGCATTTACCTCGATATGATTTATATACATTGATTACTGCCTGTCTTTATAGGAGGGTTTTTATCCCGCTTTTATGGTTTGGTTTCCCTAACACTAAGCACAGTACCTGGCACATATTAGGAACTCAACTAAATATTAATTGAGAGAATGAACACTGATTCAACTTTCACAAGAATCCCCTGCAAGAATCCAGGGGAGTCTCCTAGCCTTCCACCTATATAGCTAGAATTCCACCTATATAGCATAATTATAAGTATTTTTTTAAGTGACTATGTAATTTCCCCTATTTTTACAAATGGGTGAGTTGACACAGGTAGGCTCCTCAGTGAGCCTAATAACAGGGTGCAGCTACCCAACCTATACTTGATGAATAAGAGTCCCAAGGACCCTGAGCAGTTAAAGGAGTCACTACCTAAAATCTGCAACTGGATCTGATCTCCCAAGCCATTTTCCCATTTAATTCACTCTCCTAGACATAGTTCCCTTGAGTCATTCCTAATTTGTATGCTGGGGAAACTCATGCCCCAAATTTGTAGAGCTTCTCAGCACGTCCCTAGGTATACCACTCCAAATCATTTGGATGGCTCATAGAGCTGGAAGGGGTTTTCCTGTCAGGAGTGGGGTAAAAAGTGCTGCCTATGAGCAGCTGAGGGTTTCTGGCCTGAACCTCCTCTCCCACTGGAGTCCATATTGAGTTCTGGAAGGATGCAGTGCTTACTATTGAACCAGCATTTTACATGTTTTATTGTATTTAATTCTCACAATAATCCAATGTGACCCCATTACCTGTATTTCACAAATGAGGAAAATTGAGGCTTACAGGTCATGTAGCTTGTCCAAGTTCATAAAGCTATGAAATGACAGACCTAGATTTAAGCTCATTTGAGGCCAAAACCCATACTCTAATAATCATACTGGGATAATGTGCATAGCTTTAAATATCTGTAAGGCTGAACACTGTTCCAAGGGTTTATTGTTTATAGTGAATTACCTATTTAGACCTTCGTTTATTTGGGTATTCATCTTTTTTTTACTAATCTGATTGAGCTTTATGTATATTAACCATGTGTTTTATATGTTGCAAATATTGTTTCAATTGCCTTTTAACTTTATTTGAAGTGGGCTTTCCCAAATAATTGCTTGTTATACAGTCAACTGGTTTTTCTTTTGTGGTTACTACCCAGGAGTTGTAATTATCTGTATTTTATTCTAACACATATTTACTCTATAGCTATATATGTGTAGGTGTGTGTATGTATGTATATATATATATATAGATAGATAGATATAGATATATAGACAACAATTTTATTAGTATACTTTGGTAAAAAAATATATGACTGTACATGCATGAAGAAATATGAAAGTTTATGCATGAAAATGTAAATTATGGTGGTGCCTGGGTGGCTCAGTCAGTTGAACATCTGCCTTTGGCTCAGGTCATGATCCCAGGATCCTGGGATTGAGCCCCACATCTGGCGCTCTGCTCAGCAGGGAGTCTGCTTCTCCCTCTGCCTCTGCCAGTCTTGCTCACTCTCTAATAAATAAAATCTTTTAAAAAATGTAAATTATGATTATCTCTAGATGGTAGTTGATGGGTGACTTTAGTTATTTTTCATATTTCCACAATGAGCATCAATTCTTCCTGAAAAAAAATTCAAGAGTATTGGGTTCTCACTACCAATAGCAGTGATTTTTTTTTGTGAGAGGGAGGTAATATTTTCCACATACCCAACAGGAAAGTAAATCTATAGGAGAGGTTTGACAAGATGTATCCATATATTTAACATTATTAATTATTATTATTTGACTTGGGGGAAAAAAAGACCAACAGCATTGTTGTGGATGCTACTAACAAAAAAACCTAACAAAATCCTAGATGATGTAATATTTGTTAAGAACTGTCCTGTGACCAAAGGAAGTGAAAGCAAGAACTCGAATACTTGTACCCCCATGTTCAGTCCAGTACTACTCACAATAGCTAAACAAGTGGAAGCATCTGTCCATCAACAGATGAATGGATAAATACAATGTGGCATATGCATACATACAGTGGAATGTTATTTAGCTTTGAGACATGCAACATAGATGGACGTTGAAATAAGTGGTTGCTAAGTGAAATATGCCAGTCACAAAAGGACAAATATTGTATGTCTCCACTTACATAAGGTTCCTGCTATAATCAATTCCATAAAGACAGAAAGTGGAATGGTAGTTGCCAGAGGCTGGGAATGGGGGAATTAGTGTTAACAGGTACAGAGTTTCAGTTGAAGAGATCCAGTGCTGGAGATGGATGGTGGTGATGGTTGCACAACAATATGAATATACTTCATGCCACAGAACTGTATCATTAAAATGGTAAATTCTATATTATCTATTTCTTATAATAAAACCAGACACCACTGTCCTATGAAAATAATGTCCAAAATCTTTAGCTTGGCATAAAAGGTCTATCACAACATACCCAATTTATTTAAAATCCTTCATTTCCCACCATTTCTCCTCACTGCTCCTTGAGAAAAGAGAACTTTTATTCACCTTGCATCCTAGCACCTGGTACCTGACAGTGTGGGGGGGTTATGGCTAGGTGACTGTTACTGTTTCAGCCTCACTAAATGTTTTGTTTTCCCCTAGTAATCAGCCATAAACTTTCACACCTCCATGCCTTTATTTTTTTTTTACATGTGAGTCATTCCTTCTAGAACAGCCATCTCCTTTTCTACACTTAGCAAACACATTAAATCCTTAGGACTTTACCTCTTCTGTCAGGTCTTCTTTCAAAGAGACGATCATTTCCACCTTCATGCTCTCATGCACTTTACAGAAAATCCCAACGTCTATTTAACACACACTCATTTATTTACATATCTTTTTTTCATGCTCTGCTCTAATACACAACCTAGCACATAGTAAAAGTCTCCCTAAATGCTGCGTGAATGAACGAGCAAATGAGCAGGTGATATTAATTTCCAAGCTTCCCTGATTGGCCTCCTCCGGTGGATGGATGTGTGCCTCCAGCTGGTATCCTCAAGCTACATGAATTTAGACCTAATTCATCTGGCTGCCAAGTGCGTCCAGGAAAGGACTTCTGTGGCACTGGGGGGTCCTACACCCGCCAATCCTAGAGTGAGACAAAATCAGGACTCCTTACCCCTATGCCCACCTTTCCCAGGCACAGCGCTGGGGCCCTTGCTGTTTTTCCCTATAGATCCCAGGGAATATTTAGAAGTTCACTTACAAACATATGACAGCTGGAAAGGACATCAGAGATTGCCCATCCAGCTCATTTTACAGACGAGGAAAATAAGGCCCAAGCAAATAAAGAAGCTGTGATTTAATGGCAGAGTAGTAACTAGGGCCCAGGTCTCCCCACCTCTTCAATGACACCAGGCTGCATTCAGCAACAGAACCCTACCGAGTGGACAACGGGCTAGGGCTGGTCTAAAACCCTCTTCAATTTCGGTTTCCTCTTCCCGTAAAATGGGGGGGGGGGGGATTAAAGAGCTGCCTGGGACAGCTGTGTGGAGCAAATAACATAACGAATGTGAAAGGAGTTTTTATTAGTAACAGAACTCAGAGCGGGGCGAAGTGGTGTAGAGGGAACTAGGAGGTGTCCAGAGGCGCGTGTTCCAGTCACGTCATCTCTCTGGGCCTCAGTTTCCTCATCTGCCAAAGCAGGACCGGGCCTCGTCTGGCAGCCGCGGCCCTTTCAGCTCGGCCGTCCCAGGCTCGAAGGCCCTTCGCGGAGGCCCCAGTCCGAAGGGCTGGGCCCTGGGGGAAAGGACTAGGGAGTTCGTGGGGGGCCTCGAGTTACCGTCCTGCAGCAGCGCCGTCTTCTCGGCGGTCCGCAGACACTCCAACCAGCCGGTTACCGCCATCTTCCCTCCAGCCAGCCGCGCGACCTGCCGCTGCCATGGCAACCATTCCGCCTACGGTCACTTCCGGCCGACCCGGAAGGTGTTCCGGGCATTTGGCCTCCCTCCCCCCACCCATTTCCCACCCGCCACGCCCTTCGTCGGCTCTCATTGGTTGCTCTGGTAAGTGGTTTACTCCGGCCGGCTCGCGGGTGAGCCGCGGGGTCCGAAGTTGACCCCACCGCGGACCCAATCGCGGCGGGGGGAGCGGTCCTTAGGGCACGGTCCAGACCCTCCAGCCCTCCTCTGGCCCCCAGCTGGGAGTCCCTGGGTGCGCGCCAGCTGGGGACGCGGCGGGGACCCCACAGCTGCGGGTCGTCTCCACCCCCAGCTGTGAGGCCGAGACTCCCCCCAGCCTCGGAAGGCGCCCTAACACCTGCTGTGGCCATGTCCCGTCTCCCCGCAGCTGCGGGGCTGAGCTCCCCCGTAACTAGAGGCCCACCACCAGGGCAGGTGTAGGGCGTTCCCCCGCCCCCCGGACACCCTCACCCCGAGGGTTTCCTCTGTGGGTCTATGATGGGGTAGAGGAAGATCATGTGGGATTTAAATGCAGATTCATCTAAGTCCGTCAATCCTCTTGGGAGCCCAAGCCCTTTCTAAAGATGTAGCTCCATTTCCTAGCCTGGCATCCCCTTTTGGTAAAGCCCTTTCAAAGTGGGATGCTGCAGAGCAGACACTACACTGAATCTTTAGAGCAACCCTCTGAGGAGTATCATTTTGTACCCCTCCAGAGTTCCTCAATAGTCCCATTCTTCCCTTTATATCCCCCAGTATTCTGACTTTGAAAGGCTGGTAAGTGCTAGGCTAAATTACTGAAGCTCAGCTGGGTTTTGGGAGACCCCTAGGGGAACTGAGGTACTGCCTCCAAAGTCTGGTTGTTAGAGGCAGCACCTCCATAGGCAAAGGGTTGGGTAACCTCAGTTCTGGGTTTCCACATGACAGTTGGCCCGATCAAACCTAAAACTGAAAGGCCGTGATTTGGCCAATACCCCAATGGACCCTGGGGGCATCTTGAAGGCATTTCCCAAGAGGAGGAAAATTCATGCCAATCCATCATCAAAAGCACTTGCAAAGATTCCCAAGCAAGAAGGTGGAGAAGAAGAAGGAGGTGAGCAGATCCACCCTCAGAGCCCTCATGTACTTGAACCCCTAGGCTTCCTATATTGTTCATGACTAAAATCAGATATTAGAGCTGATTTCTGCCAACCCATGGCCTGCAGGTTGGTTTGTGTCTGTGTTGTACCAGGCTTGGGCCCCAGTCTTTGCCAGGCCACTTGGCTGTGTTATTTTCTAACCCATCCCTAGACCTCCGTTAATCAGAAAATACTCTCTGGCCCCTAAGGAAATGACCAGCAGATTCCTTTGCTCTCCAGGAGGTTGCCTGAAGGTGGGAAACTCAGGTCCCCAGAGTTACATTATTTTGCAGCCAAGCTGACAAATAAATGACAACACCTCATGTGGCAGGCTGGGGGAGGGGAATATCTGTTACACTGTGAGGCCTGTAATGGCAAGACATATGGCCTTATGCCTTGTGTGACGTAGATGTCTCTTAATACTTGAATGTAAAGATGATCAAATGAATCCATATGCAGGATACCTACAATATGCTAGGCACTGTTCTAGTTTACATGAGGGAACAGGACATACTGAAATCCTTGCCCCTTACATCAAGTGAGGGTTCATGGGGAAATTAAGTGTATGCTTGCGGCTGAATCCCCAGAAGGCTGGCTGTCTGGATGGAAGGAAAACGATTGTTTGGGTTCATTTGAATCATATCCAGCAGTCATGACAATAAGCATCTGGATGTCCCCTGCACAGAATGGCTGAGCTCCCTGCGGGCACATGTTGTGCCCAGCGGCATTGGGCGAGCCCGAGCAGAACTCTTTGAGAAGCAGATTATCCAGCATGGTGGCCAAATATGTGCTGCCCAGGCCTCAGGGCTCACTCACATCGTGGTGGATGAAGGCATGGACGGTGAGCGAGCCCTCCGGCTCGTCGGGCTGTCCCAGCTGCCCCAGGGTGCTCAGCTGGTGAAGTCCACCTGGCTGAGCCTGTGCCTGCAGGAAGGAAGGCTGGTGGACACGGCAGGATTCAGCATCTGCATCCCCAGCAGGTGAGCTACCTCCCCCCACCCCAATCCTTCCTCAAGTGTTTCCTGGGAGCATCTTGAACTCTCTTCTTGGGTTATAACTTTTATTTTTTTAATCAGAAAAAAACAATATTTCAGAGTAGAAGATTGGGAGCAGGGGTAGAGCCAGGCCTTTGGGGTCTTAACTTGCCATCACCATCCCTGCAGGTACCCAGGGCTCCAACCACAGCTCAGCAAGGCAGACCAAGAATTTTCTGCTCCTCCAGGATCCCATGAGGCTCTGCTCAAGAGAGCTCTCACTCCTCCTCGTTCTATCACCAGGCCTGTATCTCCTCCCCAGAGGACAGAGGAGGCCCCGAGCACCCAAGCTCAGGTCAGGAGCCTCCCAGCCCTCAGAGCTCCCTTCCCCTGGAAACTAGGTCACAGGAACAGGGAGGGCCTGGTGGTTGTTCAGAAAATCCCAGGCCCCTAAAAGAGGAAGGATCTCTATTGCGAAGTCATTTGGCTCTTCCCAGCACTCATCATGCCTGCATTTGCCCAGGCACACCTACCATTTAGGGGCTTCTAGGGCTGGGCACTGGGGGAAGCCAAACGGAACATGGCCCCACAGTTAAGGAGACCCAGGTCTGAATAAAGAGACCCAGCCTCATTCCTGAGTCTGACTAGAAGACTCAGCCCCTACCTTTGAAGAGTTCTTCTGGGGGCCAGGGGCATGAATTTATCATCTCTTCTCTTTCCCTACCTCAAGCCTGGCTCTGATGCTGAAACCAGTGATGGGGAAGAGACCCAGGTTAGCGCAGCTGACCTGGAAGCCCTTATCAGTGGCCACTACTCCACCCACCCTGAGGGAGATGATGAGCCTCGCCCAGCCCCTAAGGGCCTGGATAAGTGGGTCTGTGCACAACCTTCGAGCCAGAAGGCAGTCAACCACAACCCTCACATCACAGAGAAGCTAGAAGTGCTAGCCAAAGCCTACAGTGTTCAAGGAGACAAGTGGAGGGCCCTGGGCTATGCCAAGGCCATCAATGCCCTCAAGAGCTTTCACAAGCCTGTCACCTCCTACCAGGTACCTGCGGGCCAGGGCGGGGATGCAGGGAGATGGGGTGCTCTCTGTTTACTGGCTGGAGGTTGGTGGAGGCACCAGTCACAAGTGGGGAGGAGGTGGGGAGTGCTTAAGTTTTATGATGTCTGAGACTTGCACAAAAGAAATAAAACAGGGAGATGGATAAAAGCAGATTGACAGAACCTTGATAATTATAGAAGCTGTGACAGGTACTTGGGGGTTCATTATATTGTTCTCTACTGTGGATTTTTTTCCATAATAAAAGGTTTTTATAAAGGTTAGACGCTGGAGGCCAATAGACCAGGGTTTGAATTCTGGTTCCCATCATTCACTGTGTGATTCTAGGCAAGTTACTTAAACCGTTTGAGCAATGAAAAGGAACTAAGATTAGTGAGGGACTCAGGTACTCCTGGGAGGACCAAATGTGATGCTCCCTGCAGTGCAGGACCTGGCTGCAGAAAGGCCTCCCCCACCTTGTTGTTACCATGATGATGGTGACAAGTGTTACACTGCTGCCTTTTCTCTGCTTCCCGTGCTGACCCCCATCCCTCTGAGAGCCAAAAGACAAGTGACCCAGCCCAGCCCATCCAATCTTCTCATCTTCACTTGTGCCCAGGCTTTACACAGCCATCAGTTGCCAACTGACCAAGCTGGCTTTTATTCAGATACGTGCTAAAGGAGTCTGCTAACCCACCACTGGCTGTACACCTCCCATCCTCTCACTCTTCTTTTCCTGCCTCTGCCTCCTCCTCCCCTAGGAGGCCTTCGGTATCCCCGGGATTGGAAAGCGGATGGCCGAGAAAATCGTAGAAATCCTGGAGAGCGGGCATCTGCGGAAGCTGGACCATATCAGTGAGAGTGTGCCTATCTTGGAGCTCTTCTCCAACATCTGGGGAGCCGGAACCAAAACTGCCCAGATGTGGTACCAGCAGGTCACACTATGTCCCAGCACCCACCTTAGTTTTGCTCTTTCTTAGAGGTCCTGCCCCACAGTTCTTGTACCCTGTGCTCTGATGGGAATGAACCAGGAGGGGGACTAGGGCTCATGGAGACCCCTCTCCAGGCTCCCAGACCTGCCCTGTTGTCTGATAGCCCCAAGACATTAATTTGTGATAGAAGCAGAGAGACAAGAAGTGTGTTTCTCTCTCCCCCTGACTAGTAAGGGCCTTCCTAAGAAGACCAGGCCTCAGGGCTATGTGTCCAGATCAGTGATTTCCCCAACCTGGTGATGCCCAGAATCTCTCAGACTGATGGACTTATGAGCCAGTATTTTAGCGTTGTGGCAGGGCTGGATTGGGGTGTGTCTCCCATGCTTCCTACTCCTCTTGGGTCCCACTGATTACAAATGCAACCACTCCTGGGGTTGGTCCTTCTTCAGGCTTTCCTTGGAATCTGGGGGTGATGGAAGCCTTGTGTATGTGCTCATTCACTGCCTCTCCATTGGTTCTAGCTGCTCATAGCCTCCTCATCTGGTTTCTTTTTTCCAGGGTTACCGGACCCTAGAAGACATCCGCAACCAGGCCTCCCTGACTACCCAGCAGGCCATTGGTCTGAAGCATTATGATGACTTCCTGGAACGCATACCCCGGGAGGAGGCTACAGAGATTGAGCAGACAGTAAGGAGAGCCAGGCCTTGGTATAAGGCCAGGGCCTGGCTGGAAGCCAAGAACACGTGACCCCTCAGCTGGGGAGCCAGGCAGAGGAAGCTGTGGGGTTGAGACCAGTGGGGAAAGGACCAGTTGAGACTGAAGCTGGAGGGGTGGGTGGCTTTAGTAGGAAGTGCTGTAACACCAGGCTTCTAGGTTAGGGTCAGTAAGCATTGGCTTAGATCCTGGAATTCTGTTAGGACTGGGTTAATGTTAGGGCTGGATTAGAGGTGGATTATGGTCAGATCTACTTTAGGATATTGGGGTTTGAACTGGGTTAGGTCAGAGTAGGTTAGGGCAGAGGTTCTTAGTGTTCTTTGATTCACAAACTTTTCTGAGAACCCAATGAAAACTATGGACCCTTTGTCTCCAAAATTTGTACAAAGTTTCCTATCTCCAGACATACACACCTTCCAAAGGACCCTCCCTTACTCCCCACAACCTGAGGCTGGTTCAGAGTTTGGGTTAGAATTGGTACAGAGGCACAGTGCCAGTACAATCAGGTTTGGGGTCAGAGGAAAGCTAGGTTGAATTGAATTAATGATCCCTGGGTGGCGCAGCGGTTTGGCACCTGCCTTTGGCCCAGGGCGCGATCCTGGAGACCGGGATCGAATCCCACGTCGGGCTCCCTGCATGGAGCCTGCTTCTCCCTCTGCCTGTGTCTCTGCCTCTCTCTCTCTCCCTCTCTCTCTCTCTCTCTCTCTCTCCTTCTCTCTGTGACTATCATGAATAAATAAATAAATAAAATCTTTAAAAAAAAAAAAGAATTAATGTTAGGCCCAAATTAAGAGTAGGGTTTTCTTAGTATTGCTTTTAGTTAAGATTTCTCATTGTCCTAAAAATAAGATTTGGCCAACATTAGGTTAGAATTGGGTTAGGGATTAAATTCATCAAAAACCTAGATTAGAGACTAGGATGTATTTGGGGTTAGATATATCATTTGTTCAGTTGGTATCAGGATTAGGGGCTGGTGGCTGTGGGCAAGATCTGCTACTTTGGGATCAGGTTTTGATAAGGTAGGATTCTATAGAGTTCCTGGCCCACCTTAGTTGAAATCAGCCTCCAACTCTCTATTCAGGCTACGGGACTATGAGGCTGGTGCAGGATAGATGGACAGGCTCTTTTGTCCACCCATCATGAGGCCTCAGTGCTAGTGATGACACCGTCACTCAGCCACGGTGTCCAGGCACGGAGAATGTCCCAGTGAGCCTCCAGCCCCCAGCCCATTGGAACAGAGGTGGTTTGCCACCTGGCATTTAAGGACTCCAGCTTTAGGAGTTTTTGATGGGATTACTCATCCTAGGTCTCCTCCCAGCCTGTAGGGAGGCTCAAGAAGGGAGTGAGGGGATTAGAAGAGCTTGGCCTGTCAGGAGAATTGAGGTGTCCTGGCCAAAGTATCCAGGGTCCCAGAAATCCTCAGTGTCCTGGGGTAGAGGCGTGGAGGCCATCTGCATATGAAAGGCTTCCGTGTCTCTGGGGCAGAGGCTAATGGGCTTAGTTCCTTCAGTGAGGATGATCCTTCTACTGACAGCCCCCTCTTTCTTAGCTCCCTCTCCATGCCGGGCCTCCTTCTTCCAAGTAAGAGTGTGAGCACTAGCTCAGAATTGCCTCCTCTTTGCTTTTTTTCTTTTCCTTTACTATAGGTACAGTTGTATTCCTGTGCTCCATTTCCCCCCTAGGCCTGGGCCAGGGCACCCTGCTAGCCACCTGCTCAGGCCTCAAGCCCCAACTCACATACTCTGCCTTTAGCCCCAAATCTATACCTGGGGCTGCTGAGACCTGGCAGATGGGCACCTTGTGCTTTGTCCTAAGTGGACAGACCTGGGCACATGGGTTGGGGCAAGGGCCAAAAGAAGGTGTGTCTCTCTGCTCTTAAAGAGCTCTAGGAGGAAAGATCAGTGCCTTCCATCAGAATCTGAGTATACACCTCTTAGATCTCTCTTCAGGCTGAGTCTGGTGGTGAGAGCACATTTTCTTCTCTTCTGTCCTAGCAAAGCTGGAGAACTGCCATTCCCCAGGGTAGACCTCTGGCATCTGCTCCTTGAGGCTTTCCCTCAGGGTTGTATCTCAAATCCAGGGATTGGCTTAGGGTATCAGCTGGAAGTATGGGCTCCTGGGTCAGGGAAGTCTCTTGTACTGCCATGAGAAGGCACTCCTTACAGGGCTTGAGGTCCACAGGCCCTCCCCACTGCCCCCTGCTCTTCCCCAGGTCCGGAAATCAGCTCAGGCCTTCAACCCCGGGCTGCTATGTGTGGCATGTGGTTCTTACCGACGGGGGAAGGCAACCTGTGGTGATGTGGACGTGCTGCTTACTCACCCGGATGGCCAGTCTCACCAGGGCATCTTCAGTCGTCTCCTTGACAGCCTTCGGCGACAAGGTATAAGCTCCATCTCTGGGTGAGCAGGCTGGCCGGGGCAATGCGGGGCTGGGTAACTAACTCCCAGGAGGGAGAGCCTCGGGGTTGCAAGCTCTAGGCAGGAGGCAGGGGAAGGCTGCTTCATGAGAATGCCACCTCTCCCTCGTGGCCAGAGCCATTTCAGGGAAGAGATGAAATAGTCCACCACTCCTCCAGTCAGGTGCTCAATACTGCCTGCAGATTGAGTTTCACCTCACCTGTCTACGACACTGTAGGGGACATGGGGAGGAATGACTATGCGTGGTTTAAAGAGGCAGGCCCAGAGAGGGCAAAGCCACCCAGCAATTAAATTCATGAACTGGGAATGGAGGACCTAGGGATAAACAGGAGAGACCTGGGAGGACAGGGCAACCCAGGCCTGGCGCCCTACCCTCCTAGCAGCCTTCCAATGTCGTGCTAGGGTTTCTGACAGATGACCTGGTGAGTCAGGAGGAGAACGGCCAGCAGCAGAAGTACCTGGGTGTGTGCCGGCTCCCAGGGCCAGGGCAGCGGCACCGACGGCTGGACATCATCATTGTGCCCTACAGCGAGTTCGCCTGCGCCCTGCTCTACTTCACTGGCTCTGCCCACTTCAACCGCTCCATGCGGGCCCTGGCCAAGACCAAGGGCATGAGCTTGTCAGAGCACGCCCTCAGCACCTCTGTGGTTCGGGACACCCAAGGCCTCAAGGTGGGGCCTGGCCGAGTGCTGCCCACCCCCACTGAGAAAGATGTCTTCAGGCTTTTAGGCCTACCCTACCGAGAACCAGTAGAGCGGGACTGGTGACCCGTGGCTGGAGGGGAGGGGACGCCAAGCTGGACCGGCTGCCCCACGTGGCCATCCAGTACTTGGCCAGCCTCAGCAAGCTGAACCTCACTACTTCAGCCACCTGGGCCTGAGGGAAAGGGCCAGCCTGGCTCCCTCTCCACAGGAGAAAACTGCCATCCTTCTACCTCATCGTTGCCCCCTGCTAGAGTTTTGTACACGGCCCCCTGCCCCCATTTTAAGCAAGAACAGGTGTTGGTGTGAAGCCAGCTTCCTGTGCTGAAGGCCCAGACACCCCTACTTCCCTACCCAAGGAGGCTCTGACTGCTGGGGGTGGGACGGGGACTGCAGGGGAAGGGGCAAACAGCTGTGGCGGAGCATCACCTAAGACCCTTTGGAGCCAGAGAAAGCATTTCCCCATGTACTCCCTCTACCCTGCCTGCTTCCTGTGCAGCTGGAGCTGTGGGGTGGGGGTGACCCCGGCTTGGTAAGGACAGCATTTGAAGGCCCAGGGGCCCAATAAAGTGCACTTGACATTCAGACTTCCTGGTGTCTGAGCTGCTGTAGTCCCTGCCTACCTTCTTCCATCCGTGCAGGGATGGAGATGGGAGCTGAATGCGAGTCCAGAAAGGCAAGTCAACTGCTCTCTAGACAGGGCCAGACTGAATCAGCTCCTGAGCTCAGAAGGGGGTGGGGGTGGGTGGAGGAGAGGAAGAATCCATGGAGTCAGGCATTAGGAGCGCCTGTGTCCCCATCAGCATTTCTTGTGGGTCCTGTCCTAGATCAGGCTGTTGGGACATAAACAAAGGTGACTCATTAGGAACAACCAAATGGTGACTTGTGTGCCACCAACAGTGCTGAGGGAGTCAGAGAAGGTTGCCTGGAGGAGGGGAGGGGCAGGCTGGCAGGGAAATGCCTGCCTGTTGAGGGATGACTAAAGAACGTGCTTTAGAGAGGATGCTTCTGCCCAAGCCAGGAGAAGGCCAGATGGATGGGGCCAGAGGATGGGGAGTCAGGCTAAGGGGCTTAGTTTGAGAGAGCAGGTAGGAGCCAGTCAGCTGGCGAGACCAGGATGGTGCCCGGAACTTGGCCTTTGCAGGATGGAGAATTTGGTGATGGGAGCAGAGGGTGGGGAAGAAGGTTTGGGCCTACCAAGTGTGAAGAATAATGAGCACAGGGCAGGAGCGGGCAGCTGTGTTGGAGGAGCCTGGAGAGGCCTGGGGGCATGGGGGTTTGGAGGCTTCAAGGATAGGCTTAAGCTGGAGCACGCTGGCCAGGAGGCGGGGTGGGGGGCAGGGGGCAGGTGCTGAGTCCTGTACCTCCGTCAGTAACTTGAGAATCCCAGAGCTGGTCTCTGTTGGTGTGATTTTCGTCAGGGGATCCTGGCAGTCTCCCAAGAAGGCACCCTAGTTCAGAAGCCTGAAGTCCAAACCTTGGGGCCCACCTGCATGCGTCATGCTGGGGAAGGAATCCAGAGCTCATGGAGTCTGGGGCCCTTCCACAGCTTTGTACCAACCAAAGAGTCACATCAATTCCACAACTTCGAACAAACCAGAGTCACATCAAAGGCCTAGAAGTCTTTGAGGGGTGACTTCCTCAGAGCTGCTACTCCCAGGAGGTGTGGCTGACTGGGGCCTGGAATGAAGAAACTGGGCAAGTTCCTGGGCCCCCGAGGCTGCTTCTGGCCCCCCCTCACAAGCTCTGCCAGTTCTACTGGGGACTGGGCCCCCAGCATCTGCCGTTATTCCCAGCAAAGTCAGAGTCGGTAGGATCCCAAAGCCTGGAATGTCCGGGTCCGGATGTGGAAGTTGCTTCTCTCTTGCTCCCCACTTCAGTGCCCTGGCCTGCTTAACAGCCTCTTCAGGCCCAGAGAAGAGGGCTTCCTGGGCTACAGGAGGGAACCGGGGGGTCATGGGGTAACTTGGCCAGTTAACCCCTTCCCACACACAGGAGGTCCCCAGAACCACTGGAAGGACAGTGCTGATTTCTGGGTCTGAGAACAGGGAGCTCGCACCGCCGCCTCCTCCTCCCAGCAGATTCAGAATTCGGGAGATGACCTTCAGACCATGTGAATTCGTGTTCCTACCTCCTGGCAAGGACAATAGGAAATCAGGATAGAAAGGGAGAGTGCCCACACCCTCCAGAGAGCCCCACCACGGAGGTGGTGGGTTTATTCTTGGCTGCTCAGTCTGACCCAAGCCCAGGAGAAGAGCTGCTGGAGGGATTTCTATCCTGAGAAAGGCTGCCCAGTCCGAGTCCAAACTAAGCACAGTGTGTTGGAAGGTTCTCCAAGTACTTCAGAGTCCAAACTTGGTTTCTGAGCAGGCTTGCAGCCTCGTGTCCCATTCTACTGGAAAGGGAAACTGAATTTTGGACACCTGGTGGGAACTGGCATCCTGTCTAGCAACTGAGTACCCCCAAAACTACCACCCAGCTTCTGCATGGTCCTGAGGAGAAGGGGAAGGGCCCCACAAGCCTACTTTCTGCCCCTAGCCCAGCCATCATCACTCTACCCCTGTGCCAGAGTTGTCCCTGGCTAGACCACATGAATGGTAGGCACGATAGCTGTCCCCCAAAGATGTCCTCATCCTAACCCTTAGACCTTGTGACTATGTTACTTTGCTTGGCAAAGGACATTGGAGATATGATTAGGTTTAAGGATTTTGAAATGATATCATCCTGTGGACCCAATATAATTATGAGTCCTTGAAGTGGAAGGAGAGAGGTGTGACAACAGGAGGACGGTGAGAGAGATGTGATGCTTCTGATTTTGAAGACAGAGAAAGGGAACCACCAGCCAAGGGATGTGGGCAGCCTCTAGAAACTGGAAGAGGCAAGGCAATAGATTCTACTCTAGAGCCTCCATAAGGGAACACAGTCCTGCCAACACCTCAATTTTATGCCAGCGAAACCTGTGTCAGACTTCTAAACAGTAGTACTGAGTGGTGATAACTGTTTTAAGTCACTATGTGTTACTGCCACTGCAGGGAACCAGTAACCTGGGTATGTCTTGGTCTCCTTTTATAGTGAGTGGAAGGGCCTTCTGTGAGGTAGAGGAGGTCTCAGCCGGGTGTGGGGAAGGATGGGAGCTTCATACGCCTGGAGTGGGGGAGGGTCAGGTGGTGGGCAAGGCGGTGGGTCCCAGCCCTCTCGGACTGGCTGCCGCTTGGTCAGTGTGAGCCTCCCTTAATTTCTGTTTCCCTCTGATGCTTTGTGACCAAGATACAGACCTTTCTTTCTTTCTTTTTTTTTTTTTTAATTTTTATTTATTTATGATAGTCATACACACAGAGACAGAGAGAGAGAGAGGCAGAGACACAGGCAGAGGGAGAAGCAGGCTCCATGCACCGGGAGCCCGACATGGGATTCGATCCCGGGTCTCCAGGATCGCGCCCTGGGCCAAAGGCAGGCGCCAAACCGCTGCGCCACCCAGGGATCCCGATACAGACCTTTCTAAACTGCTCTGCCCCAACCCCACCAAGCTGGGAGCCTCGTCTTTTCCCAGGGGCTGGGGGAGTGACATTGGCCTTGGCCCCAGACTTGCACTGAAAGTGGAACAAGGAGAAGTTCAACCTCTCCTCCTGGGTTCTGGGTGCTCATGGGGGAGCAGATGTGGGCACAGGAGCCTCCTGCCCTAGAGTGGACACGGCAAGGTGGGCGAGTCCAGCTGTGTCCTACCCTCCAGGTTTCGAGGGCTGGGAATGGAAACTCCAGGCCCTTTGTCTTTCTCCAGGACAGTTATGGGATTTTTGTCCCTTTAAATGGGATGTGCTGGGGGCACCTGGGTGGCTCAGCCGGTTAAGCAGTTAAGCGGTTAAGTGTGTGCCTTGGGCTCAGGTCATGATCCCAGAGTCCTAGGATTGAGCCCCACCTTGGGCTCCCTGCTCAGTGGGGAGCCTGTTTCTCCCTCTCCCTCTGCATCTCCCCCTGCTTGTGCTTTCCCTCTCTCAAACAAAATTCTTTAAAATGAAGAATGTGATGGGCTGGGACTACAACATGTCAGGACTAGGGACTACAACATGGAGAAGATGTTGGCCTCACTCTCTTCACTCCAACAGGAGAGCCCCTTCAGCCCCTCTCACCATCTCAGAGATTAGCGGTTAGGGCACCTGTTGCTGCCCTGACCTTAGGGAGCTGCCCTGGGCCTTAGTTCAGCCCTGAGACCATTAGCCACATTTCCACTCTGCCCTTCCGCCCAAACACCAGCCAGCTAGCTTTCTAGAACCCCCTAGAAAATGGCAGCTCTGCTTCTGAGCTCTGGAATAGGGGGACCCTGAGGGCTGAAGCCCCGAAGCTAGCCTGCAACTCTGGGCCACGCTTCATTCCTGTCGTCTGAACCCAGCCCTTCACAAGCCCTGGCCATCCCCGCCGGAGGTCAGTGCAGATGCTGAGTCCCGGTGAAAGACCCAAAGGGGACAGCCCGGGTGGCTTAGAGGTTTGGCGCCGCCTTTGTTCCAGGGCGGGATCCTGGAGACGCAGGATCGAGTCCCATGTCGTGCTCCCTGCATGGAGCCTGCTTCTCCCTCTGCCTGTGTCTCTACCTCTCTCTCTCTCTGTATGTCTAATAAATAAAACCTTAAAAAAAAAAAAAGAAAGAAAGAAAGACCCAAAGGGAACAATCCCGAAGAAGAGCTTGAAGACGAGGACAAGACAGGATGCCCTGGAGGACACCTCCTGAATCCAGGGGCACCACATAAGGGGCCACTGCTTGCTGTTTGAGTGGCTGTGGACCTCCCTGGGCCCTTGGCTCCGCAGCCTCTGGCCTGGCCCTGACCAAGCAGACCCATAGCCCTAGACACAGTGGTCCTGCGAGAGAGAACCCTCACCCGCCAGGCTCCAAGTCCCGCAGTAGAGCTGTCCCTGTGCCTGTGTCCCTTCAACTGTATGTTCATTTGCCCGTGTGTCTCATGTGCATCCTGGGCCGTGTGTTTGTGCTCTGCGCGTTCGGGATTTTGTATCCGTGTGTGGGGGGCGGGGGGGGGGGGCGGGGGGCAGGCAGCCCCGCATGTGAGTCAGCGCGCAGGGATCCAGACCTCAACGTGCAGGCCTCAGGGTCGTCAGGGGCTGGGGCAGGGCCTGGGGCTGGAAGGGTGGTCCTTGGAGTCCCCGTGGCGCGGGCAGGGACTGCAGAGGGTGGTGGAGCCCGGGCTGGCTCCGGACGCTGGGTCCTCGGTCCGCGGAGGCGGCCGCAGGGCGGGCCGGCGGCGTCAGCCTTGAGCGGCCATCAATAGCGCGCGGTTAATTAATTTGATGGGAACAGCAGGGACCGCCGTTTGCATTTAGTGAAGTTCCAGGAACTTCCAACCTCATCTTCATAATTGGCCTCATAAATTGTAAGAAAGAGAGAGATCAGCAAAGCGGGAGGGAGGAGGGGTTGCTCGTCCGTCCTTATTTAATTTTATTGCTGAAATTCATCTTTTTAGCCTCCTCCGGAATCGGCTCTCCCTGCCGGATTTGCCTAATCATGATAAATTAATATTCATTTCCCCGCCTCTTACCCGGCTCCCGCGCTTGGATGGAGTCGGATGGAGTCG